ACGACAAACTGTGACTTTTTTTTACTTGGAAATGCTTTTTTAAGATTGACAAACATCATATGTGTAATTTGTGGCACAATTCAAACGGGGTCGAAAGATAACTTTTCTCTCGCTTCAATACATACTTTTTCCGAAATAAGGTCCCATGGAGGTCCACCAGAAAGGGAGGGGCTCTCTATGGCATGCCTCCCCCACAGTGCTCCTTGACATGTGAAGGTATGAACTATAAACTCTTTGACTGTTTGCCCCCCATCTGCAGAGCTGAGTGACGTGTGGTCCATCTCCAGCGTCAGCGTGCGGCCGGACCTGCGGAGTGCGCCCAGTTCCCCCAGTAACCCTCACCTGCCCACCATCACTGAGGAGTGAGGGGGGGAGAGACAGAGAGCGGAAGGTACAGACAGTGAGAGAGGGAAGAAAAGAACGAGTAATGAAAAACTTAAATATTTACATCCTGATAAGGAAGCATCACATTGGAATAAAACATTCCTGATTATTATTATTAGAGGTTAACACTGTCAAACCCCCCCACCAAACTGCATCTAGTTGTTCAGAGTGCGGGCAGCATGCTAAAAGGAAACAACTCCATATAGGTTATTACATTTAAACTAAATCTGTGACAGTAACTATTTCTAACTGAGCCTTTGGTGATACACGCTCAGAGAATCCAGGACAGAGAGAGGAACAGCAGCAGAGCCTTCTCTCAGGACTCGGCTGGTCAGGCAGCGGGGGGGCTGGAGACCCCCAGTGTCATAGAGGCCATCACACAGCCTGGGCAGGAGGACGGTTAAACTCTACCCAGAGCCTGACATGCTTTACAACATTTTCATCATTCAACAACACCAGCTGAGCTCAGCATCGCAAGAAACTCAAAAGAAAGAAGAAACCAATGAATATACACTGCTGTAGTAATAAGCGAGTCACTTCACTCTTTCTGTCTCGTGGTTCTAGTTCAAAGAATAAACAAATGTTTGAAGAAGAAAGCACGGAAAGAAGCTGGAGGAGTGATGGAGTGGAACCCATGGACAACGTGCTGCACAGAGATCAGCTGCATCAGAACCAGCCGTAAACCGGTCTCTAGCGTTCTCTGGGTCTGTGAGGGGGGGGCACACAGTCAGTGAACTGTACATTGTTGGACTGACGGAGTGAATGTAACCCAGAGGCTTGGGAAGGTATTGCTAATATCTATTTATCTTTTGTATTAGAGTGAATGTATTATATAGCAGGCCATGTGTCTCAAAAGCATGTGGGAATGTTCCGGCAGGGTTTTATTCCAGTTTGGCTTCATGTTTGTGCCAAAGGACCCATAGCTGCTCTAATAAAGATAAAGATACTTCTGAGAACTTGTTTAAAGAGGCAATGAATACAGCTTCTTTTCCTGGAATACAGCAATCTTCTAGAGTACGACTCAATAGTCCGTCGGTGCTATGTTGTCCTAACTTCAACTGATTTTACATTTGTGTTTAAGCGTCTTCACTTTTTAGGTTTGAAATCCAAGAGGTTAGGATCCTTCATTTCTTAGGGGTTTTGCCAGTTTGCTGCACAGGTTAGCATTAAATCTCTCCAGTCATTCACTGGATCAATAGTGAACTTTTACGTTTAGGGATAGGTCTGGATTTTGACACGTCTTAGTCCTTAAATTCTGAATTCTGAATTAAAAAGCAGCCAGTACAGTGCAGAATTCACATCTTTCAAAGACTGCAAACACAAAGCAACTTGTACTGTGTTGTAATGTCACATGAGACAGTGGTTATCACTTAGTTTAGCTGTCCTTGTGTTCCTGTTGAGATATAGTAGGCTAAGCTTTTTGGCTGCAATCACTATAGCTGCAGAACCATAAATATTCAATTGAATATACTGTATATTCATTTGAATAAAGCCCTGCGCTGGGTTTCCTTTGGAGATGCTTTGGCTTTACGCTTGCATGTTCTGGAATCATCCAACTTGTATTTTATAGATTATTTTCAAAAGCTATACTTTGTGATGGCAAGTCCTCCGTTGGATCCTAACAACCACAGGAACTTTTTCAAATGTCTCAAAACACAGTCAGGTAGAAAGGTTCCAGCCAGGGTTTAGCACGCTGTGAGGAACACTGACAGCAGAGGCACCAGTTCAGTGCTCCTCTGATCAAAACCTCTGCAGTATCATCACTGCTCCACTCTGCAATATATCACTTCAGAGCTAAACTTCAGAGCACAGCCGCATTGTATTATTCTACAACAGTCATCCATCAGAAGTTCAACTTCTCTGCTGTCTTTATCCGTGTAGATACAAATATATTTTTGACAGGGTATGTTCCAGGTCAATGCCAACGACAAATGAATTATTAATAAGAGTTCTGAATGTCACCCCCTCAGCTGTGTGTCAGATACGGCTGTATGAGTGGATAAAGGTTGCTAGTTTGATGCTTCCTGTCTGTGTTCATGTGATCCTCGTGTTGTGCTAAACGTGTACAGAAAGTGACACGAGGAGATCCCCGCTGCAGAGATATGTTCATGGCTACACAACAAATCAGATCTTCTGAAATAAGGAATCAGAAAGGAAATGACTGCAAGCATCATCCCACACCTCTGAGCCACTGTCTCTGAGCAATGAATGCAGTGATGCAGCCAAACATCAGCTTAGATATGACAGAGTACTGTCAGAGTCCAGATGCCTTTCTTTCAGCTTGTACTCAACGGCTACTTTCGGTTTGATTTAATAGAAGCGTTTCCAAGCTTGTGTTTCTTGTTTTTACTGTGACTGTTCTCTGATTGTAATGCTGCTGTCATCTTATATTAAAACATTAGAAGGTCTATTGTTGGTAACTCTGCTTTGTTATGCATGAAGTACATGTATAGACATCACAACAACTTACATTTCACTGATCTCATATTGTGCAAATACATTGCATTTTATCCTCCAAAATATATATTAGCAATTATATATTCAAATTCAATTAATACATCATATATGTGTTTGTAGTGTGAATAATAATGATTAAATAGGGATGGCAAAGATAGAATCATTGACTGATATGGAAATAAAAGCAAAACTAAACTTTAGCAGGATGACATTCTGCTCCTGGTAGCCAAGTACCCGAGATAAGAAGAATCTCAACATATTATAGAATAACTGACTATTTATGACATACTAAAGTAAGATATCTTTGTCACACTTTTAATTACTTTCAAAAAAATGTTTCAAATATGTGACTGTGACATACTATTATGACATTTCAATAGAATGCTTTATGATGAAATACTATTATATGACTCATTTGACACCATACTTGCCATGAGTATGACTTATTTGATGGGTTTTTCATTACATTCTATACGAATGTATTCAACACACTTTTTAATGAAAAAATCAGACTTCCCTATAAGATACTATACTAGTAACTTTAAAACCGCAGAGTATTCTTTGGCTCTGACTACTTTGGACTTTCCTTTTTTGACATTCATGACAAGGGCTTTCATTTTAATACAGACAATACTCTTGACTTTTTTATAGCATATTTATTGTTACATGTGTATTCCATAATATTCTATGACTTCATGACATGCTGTACTATGAAATCTTATATTATAGTTATAGTAAATTATTATTATTTGTATGGCGTAATATTTCAAGTTAGATTTTTTGTGATATTTTTATGTCATAATTTTTTTGGTTGTAAACGATCGCATACCTTTTTTTATGAAAAACTAAAACAGTAACTTATCGTAATATTGTATTATGACTCATTTGGTATACATTACTGACGTTTACCCACATTTTTTACGAGCTACTAAATACCTTAATGAGAGTTTTTTTCACCAACAAAATATACTCTCAACATGCTATATGAAACTCTTAGTTATACTAAACTAGGACATTTATGAAAATGAGTCACAGCATACTTTTTTTAGTATATTTATAATATATAAACCATTTTTGCTACAGCACAGAGCTTTGAATCAGAGCAAACATCCGGTCTGCACCCCAACATCCGGTCTGCACCCCAACAGAATAGAAAAGCTGGCAGTTGTTAATGCAGCTGGAGTTTAGTGGACACAATGCATCTACAGCAGATGTTCATATTTACCTAGATATCACTTTTTCTATTTGACTGGAGCTTAGGCATTTAGTGAAAAATCTCAGAACCTCTAAGAGAGCAAGGCACTGGATCAGAGCCTCTGAACGAGCACTATTGTGACCCACTCGAAATACACACTACTTTCCCATTCCAACAGCCAGGATCCCTGTGATCAAGGAAGATCTTTAAGGACTTCTATAAATCACCTGAAGTGAACATGAACATGAATCATATTTCTTTGATTTGAATGTGGTGGTTGTTCATGTTTATTTTGATACAGTCATATGAACAATGTGAAATATTGTATTCACAGTTCAGCCCTGGTTTGGGAGGTATGTGTTTCTTTTTATTATTCTTGTTATTTTGAGGTGTTAAATGAATCACACAGCCAGTAGTGGGAGAAATGTGAAGAACATTTCATTTGTAATGATTAATCTTCAGCATTTCAGTTTCCTAGTAAACAGGCATGAGGCGTCTGTGCTGAACAAACAATGGAATGTGAAAATATCCTTTATAACAAAAAGGTGGATATCCAGTTATAGATGCATTTGCAAACTAAAAACATTTATTACGAAAAATGATATTTGGAATGACAGTAAAAAAAAAAAGCTTGTTAGTTGACCTTGAGTTTGGGGTATGTTTTCAAACTACAGGAATGTTACAAAAACAGCAGCTGCACTCCACAGGAATTCTGGGTAATGCAGTCCCAACAGAAATAGAGAGATAATTAAGGCAATTAATTAATTAATTAATGTAAAACTAAACACACGCAGCTGACACTGATCTACAATATTAAACAAGGTGTAAAGATAAATCAACATAAATGAAATAAGAATTAAAAAACAAATCCCCAATGTAAACTGCCACACAGTAAGTAAGTAGTAAGGCCTACAGCAGAGCCGTGGACTCAAACTCTCCGGGGGGCTCATACAGTTCCAAATAAAGCTAGGACCCTCACAACACTCCAGTTACACTGTTTGGTTCTAAGGCCAGAGAAAGGTTTTTCTACAGAAAATGACAGCCTCTCTCTAAGAGAGAACATAAACTCAACAACTCCATGACTTCATTATGTTAGGATGCACCAGGCAGGGAAGGAAGAGGAAGAACTGTCACTAAAGCTCCTGTGATGCTCCAATGTTCATTACACACACTCACACACACAAAACAATTACACAATAGTCTGATGGATGAAAACGTTTATATTTTTAAATCCTCATTCCTGTGCTTTGAGCTGAAGGCTAACGTTAGCATGCTAACTCCTGGAGTATAGCAAGGTTTTTATGCAGTTTCAAATTAAATGTAAGACTTTGTAAATAACACAAAGAATTAAATCAAATATCGTTTTCGCAAACATACCTTAATAAACATAGAGAGATTGAAAAACCATTAAACAATAAGGCCTATAATTATTATTAAGCATTTACATTAGTCTCACATTTCTATCAGCATGTCCCATCTGTATTAGGGGTTTCACCAACTAATCGACTAGTCGACTACCTTTACCACTAGTCGGCGCTGTAGGCCCTAGTCAACTACTCGTGAAAAAAATTGAGGTAAACGAGGTGCTGCAAAATGCTCCAAAACACGTCCGACATTCTTATGTATGGCAGTACTTCAACGAAGATGTAACCAACTCCACAGTGAAGTGTCAGTTGTGTACAGCTGTACTGAAGTACAATACAAATGCATCTGCTATGCGCAACCATCTGAAGATGAAACACCCGCTGCCGACAGCTAGCACTAGCAGTAATGCTAGCACCAGTGAGCAACGGACCGGCGTCAGCACTGAACAGAGGCAAACGAACAGCAAGAAAACACGGGTCAACAGTGATGCGGATGATGAGCTACGGGATTACTGCCAGCGGACACCGCATATCCCCAAAATGGATAATCCACTGGAGTGGTGGGCAGAAAACGTGCACCGCTTCCCCCGCTTTCGAGGAGCTACCTGGCTATTCCAGCCACAAGCACCCCGAGTGAGAGGGTTTTTTCCCTGGCAGGCAACACTGTCACCCGAAAGCGGTCAAGCCTCCTTCCCTCACATGTCGATGCGTTGGTGTTCAAACCAAACCAAAAATATGGAAAGGTGGACGTTATCGTGGAGGACAGCGAATAAAGTGTTGCGCACTGGATTTACATGGCATTTATGTAAACAAGAGTTTTTTGCTGTCGATTTTGGTGAGTCCAGTTACTGTTTGTTATTTACTCAGCCATGTAACACAAATTAAAATGCAGTGTTTAATGTTACTGTATGAGTTCCAATATAAAATACAGTTGTACACCTCTCTTTGTGTGTCTTTATTATGACGTAACGACTAGTCGACTAGTCGACTACTATTTTGAAAAATGTGTCGACTAGTAAATATTGGTAGTTGTGAAACCCCTAGTGTGAACGTACCTTTAGTTCACCATTTTGTCATTAAAACCAATCGGTCTGCATTGCTTGAATTTCAGTCCAGCCGTGACAAAACGCCTGTAATTATGTCCCAATACCCTGCCCCCATGACCTTAATATTCTGCCTGACACCCAACAGATGTTTTTGGCAATTTGTAATCACACCTCTTCTATTTCCTCATGCAGGTCATGCCAACCTAGCAGAAGAGCAGCACAACCTTCTCCCAAGCATCTTTCTAAAGCTCGTCCTGGGGGATGCCAGGCCAGCTGCGTGATTTAATCCCTGCAGCATTTTATTATGACTCAATTTTTTCCTCATCGCCTTTGTTTGCTTTTTTCAGGTAAATGGCTTGCACATGGCACAAAGAATTGCTTTCTGATTGATTGCCTGGAATGTGCATCCAATTTAAAAGCAATTCTGATTCACGATCATTGATTTCACACAGTCATGAATCAGACTTCTTCCGCTTGGTCTGTGTAATTATACAGAAAAATAAGGAAACATTTGAAAAAAAGTCACTAAACGAAATGTTTTGTCACAAGCTGTTGTTAAAGGTGGCCCCAGATTCACCGCGCACTTTTCAAGTATCATACTGGAAAAATCAACACACTCTCACTCCATAATCGTCCAGGAGCGACGTTTGGTCAGGGTCCCGTGCGTGCAGTTGTGACGCTCCTTCAGCTTCATAAAGGGACGCAAATAGCTTTCAACTGATTACAATGTATTCCCATCTGCGGCGGGATTTGACGCTCATGGAAGCACGGCATTCGTTTGTGTCGGCTGCCCTTAAAGGCAATGTGAGCGTCCATTCCCATTGGATAACGGAGAATTGTACACCCGGAAGTAAGTATTCCCCTTACTGTCGATTGATTTTACAGTGATATCTGCACTACTCATCGACTAAAAAACACCAGATTATCCTTGTTAATTACACAACATTGATTGGTTTAAATTTTGTGCAATGCTTTTGTATTTTTCCCCTTCGATTCGGAGAAACAAAAAAATTTTCAGAGTAAAGGATGGCAGAAGACACTACACTACCCAGAATCCCCAGCTATCGTTTAGGACTACACCATGTGCTCTTTTTGACAAGTCCCGTGATTAGTTCTCAAGCTCTGTGATTGGTTGACCTCCAACTGCATTCCATTGATTCCAATGGTTTCGTCTATGTCACGTGATCTTCAAATTTATCCCTGCAGAAAAAAAAAACATGGCCAAACTTCGTTTTATTCTCGGTGGAAAATGCCTATTTTAAAGTTAGTTTGGCCATTAAAATGCGTTTTGATGTCATTTGATGCGAGAAATATG